GCCGGGGGCGGCGCGGGGTGGCGCGGGCCGGGCCGGGCCGGGCGGTTCGGGACGGTACGGTACGGTAACGGCACGGTACGGTGGGCGCGGCACGGCGCGGTGAGCTCGGTACAGCCTGGCATGGCACGGTACGGCGCGGTGTGGCGCGGCACGTTACAGCACGGCTCGGCACGGTGTCTCATGGCTCGGGATTGTTTGGCACAGCGTGGGACGGGGCAGTGGTGTGGCATGGCACAGCACGGCTCGGTGCAGTATGGTACGGCTGAGTGGCACAGCTTGGCGTGGCACGGCACAGCTCGGCTCTGCAGGGCACATCAGAGCTCAGCAGCATGGCACAGCACGGCTCAGCACAGGACAGAACCGTTCAGCACCCGTGGCATGGCATGGCATGGTACAGCACAGCTCAGCACAGCCTGGCACAGCTCGGCACAGCTCGGCACAGCCTGGCACAGCCTGACACAGCCCGGCACAGCCCGGCACAGCTGGCACAGCCTGGCACAGCCTGGCACAGCCCGGCACAGCCCAGCACAGCTCAGCACAGCCTGGCACAGCTCGGCACAGCTCAGCACAGCTCAGCACAGCTCAGCACAGCTCAGCACAGCTCAGCACAGCTCAGCACAGCTCAGCACAGCTCAGCACAGCTCAGCACAGCTCAGCACAGCTCAGCACAGCTCAGCACAGCTCAGCACAGCTCAGCACAGCTCAGCACAGCCTGGCACAGCCCGGCACAGCCCAGCACAGCTCGGCCCGCCCAGGCTGCGGGACTGGCAGCAGGGAGTGGTTGCACTGGGTGAACTGGGAGCAGAGTGCAGGATTCAGGGCGCACAGTGGGGCACGGGGTGAGGGTTGCAGGGTGTGTGATGGGGCAGTGCCAAGCACGGGTGCGGAGCAGTGCTGGGTGACACCCCCGAGGGACATGAGACCCTGCTGTGCCCCAAGAGGAGTAGGGTGGCCACGGTGCACGGCTCAGCCCAACCTGGCTCTTGCCCTATTGAACCCACACGCCACATGTGGGGCAGCACGGGTGGGGACACGGTGGCCTTGGCACCAGGGTCACCTGGGGACACACAAGCAGGAATGAGGGCAGGAATACAGGATGCCAGTGCCCACGGGGACTCCTGCCATCGGAGCAGTGCGGTGCCAGGAGAGTCCTGGGGCACTCGGCTGGGATGAGGAGCTGGCACAGGGAAGGGGCCAGGCTGGGACAGGAAAACTTCCTGGAGGGAAGGACAAGAGTTCCAGGCACCAGGGTGTAGTTTGGGCATGGCCAGGAGCAGCAGGAGCTGGGTGAAGGTGCCAGGATGAGCTGGAGTCTCTAGGGAGACAATATCCCACGGGAATGTGGTGTGTGGGGTTGGCATCCTGCAGCCAGTGGGAAAGTCTGACACGAGAGCAGGATAACCTTTGGGCACCAGCTGGTCCCTTCAGACACACGGAGAGGGCAGGATTGTCCTGACACAGCAGAAAGGACAACCAGTGCATGGGAAAGGTCAAAGGGAGCAAATGAACACTCTTGTCATGATGAGCTTCCCATTTCCATAATGGAAGGAGAATAAAATCCTGTCTCAGCTCCATTAACCAATGACCATGAACTGGGATCAATCCCAGGGCTGTGCTGGCAGGGCTGGGACAGGGACAGAGCTGACACACAGCTGCTCGTCTGTCCCACATGGCCAAAGAGCCTCTCCAGGGCTGGAGATGTCTGTCAAAGAGCCTGTGATGGAGCAGAAAACCTCTTCAGTTCCCATCCCAGAGAACCTGAACAGTGCCAGCTCCATCTTTGGGGAGGAAATTGGGATAATGGAGCTGGGATGCTGAGAAACACAGCCCCGGTGGTGCCCCGGGGTTTGAGAAAGGGGAGAAGGGATACGGGTGGTCCAAGGTGTCCGTGCATCTCCGGGAACGCTCAGATGGGCCGTGGGGCGGGTGGGGACCGTGTTGCAGGGAGTCAGGAGCGCGGTGCCAGCTTCATCCCCAGCTGGATCCACACGGGATCCTGCCCAGCTGCCGCCCCCGGGGCAGCTCGTGGCAGCGGCGCCGACATCTGGGTGTGAATTGAGAGGTTTGAATGCCCCGTTTAGCCTGTAATCAGCCGGTTCGGAGCCTTTTCGGATGCGGGAGGAAAGCCACCCGTGCTGCCCACCGGAGCAGAGCCGTGCCGGGCCGGTTCCCAGCTTTCCAGCGCCTCCGGATACAGCCGGGGCGGCACCGTCGGGGATGGGAGCGGGAGGACGTGCGGCGTTTGAAGGAAAACTCACCCTGCAGGATTCATGGGAAGGCATTTGCATGATAAAGCACGCAGCCTTTTGCTTTGGGTAAATCTGTAATTAATACGGAATCGTGGTGTAATTAAAAGCTACCGGCATGGAAAACTCAAACAGAAGCCAAGCGTGTATGTGGATGAGGGAAATAGAATTAAAGCCGAAAGAAATTAGGGGGAAAAGAAAGATGAAGTGATTGGGAAATGGTGTCAGGGCACTACGGGAGGGTTGGAATTCCTGGCTCCTGCAGTGTGGAAGCAGAATAAGGTGGGGAGCTGGGATGGGGGGACCGACAGAACCCTTCCCCAGCCATCTACAGCAAGGCTGTGCCCCCGTCTCCTCTTGGATAATCTATTCCTCCGGCTTTCAGCTCTCATATGCAGAAAAAAAAATCCCTACAAAGCCACAGGAACCTGACATGAGCGCGCAGATCACCTGTGGGGTGGATGTGCCTCTCCTGCTTTCCCACCATGCTGCAATAAAGTGGGAACGTGGGAGGAGGGAGCATTTTACTGGGCAGTTTGCTCCTCGGATATGGCCAGAGTTTGAGGGGGGATACTCTGAGACCTTGAGGACATTTGTGACCACTCTGGAGGCATTCCAAACACCCTGGGAACCTCGGGGGCACCATGAGGACCTTAAGGTCACCCTTGGAAACTCTCTGAACACCCTGAAGGCATCGCAAGGACCTTGGGAACAGCCTTGGGGACCCTGGGAATAAACTCCTGGGGCACTCTGGAATGCTGAGCTCGGATGCCTTCTGGGGCCAGTCAAGGTGGGGGACCCCAAAATCTGGGGCTGACACAAAGCTGCAGATGGCATTGGGGATTAAAGCACCTCAGGAACGTGACTCTGGCAGGGATTCCCAGCCTCGGTGGGATCCCGTGGCACTGTCCATGCTGGACACCGTGCTGGATCTGCCTGCACTGCCGGGAAGTTCTCTCTGGCTCCTGGCATCACGTGCCGCTGACTCACACCCTGCCAGACCATGCAATAAACCATCCATCAATAAACCATCCATGGCAAATTCCAGCCAGAGCTGCTTCCTGATGGTGGACACACCCAGGGGACTTCATCTATCCATAAAGAATCATCATTTCTGCTCCAAGCCGTGGTGGCCAACAGCAGCGGCTCATCGTTAGAAAGGATCAGATCAGAGGGAAAAATCCCTCTGGGAATTCTACTCTGCTCCCTGTGAAACTTTGAGATCATTCTAGATTTAAAGAGATCTGAGGAAACAGACGGTGAAGGATTTTGGACAAGGGTCTGGAGCGTCAGGACAAGGGGAAAGGCTTCCCACTGCCAGAGGGCAGGGTTAGATGGGATAGTGGGAGGGGTGGGGAGCTGCGGCTGCCCCGGATCCCTGGAAGTGTCCAAGGCTTGGGACACTGGGGCTTGGAGCAGCCTGGGACAGTGGAAGGAGTCCCTGCCCATGGTGGGAGGTGGAACAGGATGAGTTTCAAGGTCCCTTCCAGCACGAACCATTCCCTTCCAATCCAAACCATTCCGTGATTCCATGATTTATTCTCCCAGCAATGCTGGTGATTTTTCCCTTTGGGAATTCCAGCCTCTCTTGTCCCCTTCCCTGGGTGGGATCAGGGTCAGCAGCATCCTCACTGTTCAGAGCTGACAGGACCGGAGTCCCCCGCCCTGTCCCGCACTCTCCGCAGCTCTCAGCCCGTGTGGAGCGGGTCCCCTCACCGTGCCCGACCCCCGTGTTTCCCCCCATCCCTCCGTGTCCCGCTCCCGCCGCTCCCGCCGCCCTTCCCAACATGGCAGCGCCCAGCTCCGCCACTACCAAGAGGGCGGCAGGGGGCGGGACCGAGCCGCGCCTCAACCAATGGAAAGCGGAGATGGGGTGGGCGCGGCACGGCCTCTCGTCCCTTCCAGCCAATGGGAGAGGGGGGCTCGGCCGGCGGCAGCCAATGGCGGTGCTGGTTCGCGTGGCGGGAAGCGGCGGGCCGCGATGGCGGGCGCGGGCGGGAGGAGCTGGCGGGATCTGCTCGGTACGTGTGGGCTGAGGCGGCCCCGGGGGCGAACTCCGCGCCGGGCGCTCCCCGCGGGGACAGCGGAAGGGACGGGGGGCGTGAATGTCCCCGCTCTGCCTTCGTATACCCCTTCTCTCTACCTGCACACACCCCTCTCTCTGTCCCAGCGGCCCGCTCCATACACCCACCCACATCTTCCTTCCTCAAAGCTCCGTATCCCGATACACATCTGCCCTCGGTACACAACATCTGCCCTCGGTACACACCATCTCCCCTCATACACCCCCGTCTCCCTGCCCTTATGACCCCGTGTGTTTTCCTCACATCCCCGCTTTGCCCTCATCCACCAGCAGCAGGGAGCAGGAGGTGGGAAACCGAACCCTAACCCTAACCCCAACCCTAACCCTAACCCCAACCCCAACCCTAACCCCAACCCTAACCCCAACTGTGAAAAACGAGGTTCACATATTTTTTATGGAATTTAAAAGTTTAATAAAAAAAGAC